GGGGGGGAGACAGCGAGGGGGAGGGCAGGGGGGGGGGTGTGACAGTCTTGAGGGATGGGGCCAGTGGGCAGCGTGGCTGGCCGGCTGCGCAGGTCTCTCTTGAGTGAGCACGTGGCTGTGTGGGTGGTTTTTTGCGTCTGCCGAGCAGGAGCGTAGTGGAGAAAGCTGTGCAGGACGCAGGTGTTCGATCCGAAACGCTGGCAATAGCAGCCCGTGGCGCCCAGCCAGTGCAGTGTGCGGTGCCATACCGCCCCCTTCCCCTGACCCCAGCCAAAAACCGCCGCCACTGCCGCCGCCACTGCCACCGCCGCACCTTGACTGACAAGAAGCGCGCCAGGGTCGCGACGCTGGAGCTTAGCAGGTCGCGACCTGACTCCAGAGTGAGGCACAGTGCAATCGCCTCAAATAGGATTGCGTGCTGCGCGTTGGCCTTGTTGACCGTCGGGCTCCTGGCCCCCTCGCCGCAGGCTGGGCGGACGGGGGCGCGGGGACGGGTGCGGGATGACGTCGCGCGGCGGCGCGTGGGTGCGTTATGGTGTGCACTTGGAAGAGCCGCACGACCCTCATGTAGTGCACCTGGTGGCTAGCCCCCGAACGATGCATAAGCAGCAGCAATGAACCGTTCCTGCATACCCGCCGCCAACAAACCACGGGCACTCTTGCTGACTCCGTCCGGACTTGTCTGGTGGGCACACATCCCAGCCAAGCGGCCTTGTGAACACCCCATCCCCTCTCCCCCCCTCTCACTGTTGAAGATGGACTGGATGACGTCACGCAGCGTCCGCTGGACCTTGGGGTTGTCGGGGGGCGGCAGGTACTGCAGCACGCGCAGGCACTTGACCTGGGGGGGCGGGGTGGTGGGTTTCAGGGTTTAGACGGGTCGCATGAGATCCGCAACTTGGCTTGGGCGGCCTGCCTCTCCTACCGGCTGGCTCTGGGGATGCACACGCGTATTGTGGGGTGGCGAAATTGCATGGCCAGGGGCACGCGGCGCCGCCCCTGGTCCAATGCAGACTGCACGGCTCCAAGAAGCGCGGCGCAGCCGAGGCGCAGCACGCAGGCGGGCGCGAGGGCCGCGTTAGCCCGGGCCCCTGAAAGCCCCGCGCGCCTGCAGCCAGGGCGAGGCGATGCCGTAGTAGGTGTAGTCGGGCGTGACGTCACGCAGCGACACCATGCGCTCCAGCACGCGCAGCACGCCCCTCGAACACGCCTCGTAGCCCGCTGCGTCGCACGGCGGCGGCAGGCGCGGGGCGTCGCGTGCGAGCGTTGAGATGGGTACTGTTCGGCTACACAGGACGGCGTCACCCTGCACCTGCGCGCAGCGTTCGCACCAAGAGGCCCCGGCGGGATCCTGCAGCCCTTAGCGCGACCGACCAACTGAACCACCCACCCGCCCCGAAGCGCGAGAGGACCCCGAGCAGCAGCGTGGTCGTGGCCAGCAGCAGCCCGATGTCGCGCTCCTCCAGCAGGGACGCCAGCACGGGCGCGAAGCTGTCCGCGGCGACGACGGCCTGGTCGGCGGGCGTCTTGCGCAGCAGGCGCAGCAGGCACAGCGCGGCCTTCTTGCGCACGATGGGGCGCGCTGCGGGGGTGTAGCCAGCGGGGGTTTGCAGGTGTAATGGCACGAGATGGGAAGCAGAGGTGCTTTCCTGGCAGCAGCGCAGCCGGGAGCGCACTCCGCGTGACATAAGTCCTGACGATCCGGACGACGATTAAACGCCACTCGGTCCCGCGCGGCGCACGCCGCTCGACACGCGAGCGCCCCCGCCGCCACTGGGACGCCTCAAGAGCGCGCACCGCTGCCGGTGCCGATGAGCTTGAGCACGTCTGGCGTCAGAGCCTCCGCCATCTCTGGGCCCGCGACTGTTTTGTTGAGTGCGCGGGTATGGGGAGGGGAAGGGGGAGGTCTTGGGTGGGTGGGCTGGGGAAGGAAGGAGCAGCACCCTTTGTCTAGGGTGGAGGTGATGCCGCAGGTCGCAGTCTCGAGCGATAGCCGGCGAGTAAGCAGCCTTGGGGCTGATGCATAGCCTGCAGCGATGCAAACTGCAAGGGACGCCGGCCAAGGCACGAGGTAGACCCCCGGCCGGCAGCCAGCGCAGACCGCGGGCGGACGCGCGGCGCGTGTGGAAGTTGCGCCACAAGGGAGTGGGGGGAGGGGGGGGGGAGCGAGCTCACTGTTGGCTACGAAGGTGAGGGCGAGGCACTGGAACGACTCGTTGCGGCTGATGAGGTCCGAGTGGATGGCGTTGATGGACAGGCGCAGGAACTCATCTTTCTGCAGGGGCGCGCGGGCGGTCGGGGGGAGTGTGTGCGGTTTGGACGGGCCGGGGAGGGGCTGTGGCCCAGCAACCAGCTGCTGCACCGCGCCCGCTGGTTTGCTGCAGCCCTCACAGTGTACAAGCGCGCCTTACTGGCTGATGTCCAAGGTGACCCATAGAGCGGGCTGGCGGCTGGCGCCGCGTGCATGCCGCGTCGGCGGCCGCGCGGCGCCGTCTCGACTGCGGTCGGCAGGTTGGGCGCGGGGGGAAGGGCGCCGCACCTCATTCATGAGAATGGAGCACGCCATGTAGCCGACCTGCTTTTCAGAGTACCTAGAATTAAGTCGCGAGAGGCCAGGCAGGGGTTGACGTGCCAGGCGCCAGGTCAGCACATGAGCATGAGGCCAGGGGGCGTGTGGGGATGCCGCGCACGCAACGCCAACCGCGCACAGGGCCCGAGACGCAGGGTGACAGAGCACACAACGGCACACCCCCTGACTGCCGGCGGCCTGCCCTTGAGACGCACGCACAAGGGCAGCTGCGTACACAACCGCCACTCGCCGCCGCGGACAGCATGGACGCACGCACGCACGCTGAAACGCACGCACGCGTTTGCACAGCCGCCCGGCTCCCGCCCGCCCGCCGCTCACTTTGCCGCCGGAATGAGGTCGCACGCCTGCTTGTGGCCAAACTCGACGTCGTACCCCAGCATGTAGATGTACAGCAGCTTCCACACGTACTTCTTCCTGTCGTACGCGGTCAGGGCCTTCTTCTCATCCCCAAACTTTGCCCTGATCTTGGCCAGCTCCTTATCCACACGCCGCGCCTCGCTCTCGCGGTTCTGGCAGGCGCGGATGTCCGATATGAACATCTGCAGCCCGCGAATCGTGCCGGCCTTTGCCATGGCGGCGGGGGCGGCGCACACGTGCGCGGCGCCGTGCTGGGGGCGGGGCGCCCGCCGCTCGAAAGGGGCGGGCCTGCGGTTTGGGGCCGGTCGGTTAGCGGGGGGGTGGTGAGGCGGTTCGTAGGCGCTCGCTTGCGCGCCCCATGCCCCGAGCGTCTGCGTATCAGGGACGACTTCCATCGGGCTCACAGCTGCATTGGCATAACCTATGCAACTTGCCACGCAGCGGCGCAGCATGCGCGAGTGCGCCTGCTGATGCCCTCGCCGCATTCGCGCCTGATCGATGCAGTTGATGCATCAAGCACTCACCTCTCCGCTGTCCTCCTAGCCTTAGGCCAGCCTTAGGCCCTGCCTTCCACCCGCGTCTGTGCCACTGGCCTTCAAGAGCTTCGTGCGGGATATGCCTGTGATCCAGATCGCAAAAGCTAAAATCGACACCCGATAAAAGCTTCTAACAGTGTAAATCACACCCCAGTGTTGCAAGATCACACGAGACCAGGTGCACGAGACTGGCGGACTGATGACGCGTACTTAAGGCGTAGAATCCTTCGAGGCACGATGTGCAGTAGCAGGTGCTGCAAAAGCGGACGGATCGGTGCTGCTGATACCAGCCAGTCCACAACAGGTCATCGTCCACACCTGATCGACAGTCCCGACCACCACAGGCAGTTGTAGCGAGAACATGATATTGCAGGTTCGGCAATGCGGAAGATCATGAAGCAGTAGCTGGCAAGTCAGCTGGCCACACTGCTTACAGAGCGGCTGATCGTGGCTGGCGCCGCGGGTCCACCACACCATGCGCCCGGCCAGCAAAATGATAATACAGGCAGGTACAATATTAACAGACGCAAACTTTCAAGCAATTATGCAACATTCTGCCACCAACACCACCGCACACACGACAGTGACTGGCCATTTCACAACGTGCTCACACCACGCCGCTCAGGTCGGCAGCAGAGGCGCGCGCTCGTCGTCGCCGCTTTCGTCCCCATGCCGCGCCCCCGCGCGTGCAGCGCCGGAGCGGTGGTGATGGTGGTGATGCGGGTGCGAGATGTGGTGGTGTGGGTGCACGTGCACGCCGTGATGGGCGTGCTCGTGCGGCTGCTGCTGCTGCTGCTGCTGCTGCGCCTGGCTCTCGTGCGGCTGCTTGGTGCCGTACTTCAAACTCTGAGACAGGATTATCATGTCAAGCGTGATCGTCCCCAGGCTGCCCGCCAGCCACGGCCCCTGGTCCGCAAGCTCCTGCAGCGTGAACGTCCGCAGCAGGATGCCCGTGCCCGTGCACAGATTGGCGCAAGCCGCCATGACAAACATTGCGAACGCCAGGCCCTCTGCACTCTGGCGGGTGTAGTTCTTGTAAATCTGGCTGAGGCGGCTGGCCAGGTACAGCACCGAGCTCACCCAGCCCAGCGTCGTGCCCACCGCCACCATCCACGGCGGGTTGCCGCCGTCGCCGCCGCCGCCGTCGCCGCCGCCGTCGCCGTCGTCGCCGCCCTTGTGGTGCTTGCCCCTGCGCTGCAGCCGTGCCGGCGCCTGAGCGGGATCCGCAGACCAGCCATGGGGACGGTCCATTTGGCTGTCACCTGTTGCTGGTGCGGCGCTGCTGCTGCCGCTGCTAGTGATGCCACCGCCGGTGCTGACGCTCGTTGCCGAGCCAGTGACGCGGTCACCAACACGCCCCTGCTGCGCGTTAAGCTGCTGCGAGCTTGCAGGCAGCCCTGGCAAGCCCACAATTTGTCCAAACCGCAAGCCTTCCTTTGCAGCCAGTTGTCGGCTGGCTTGCGGCCAGGTGGCGCCCTGCACACGAGCCGATGCCGCTGGCCCTGCCGGGAGCGACACCGACACCACCCCCAGTACAGCCAGCACAGCAAGCGCAGCAACCGCAACCGGCCGCCGTGGGACGCCCAAGCCCGCATTTGCCGTGTGCGAGCACCGCTGCGGCTGCTGCTGATGCAGCTGCTGCTGCTGCTGCTGCTGTTGCTGCTGCTGCAAACGCCACAGTGAGGCTGTGGTTGTTGCAGCGCAGGCGCTGCGGTCGCTGCTGCTCTTGCCGCAGCTGCTTCCACCGACCCCGTTGTCCTGGCCCACGAGGGCCGACCATGATTTTGTCCCAACGACCTCAGCATCTGCCTCGCCGCTGCCGCTCTGCGCCAGCCAAGCACCGCGGTGGGTGATGCCAGCCACCGCTGTGATGCAGTCTGTCTTCCGGCCGCCGGCACCGTCGGCTGCACCGCTGGAGCTGCCACTGCCGCCCAGCTGCACATCACGAGATGCGCCGGCCCCACCGCCAAGCCTGCCACTGTCTGAGCAGCCGCCAAACCCCCCACCACTCTCACCGCCAGCCCCGCTGTCACCGCCGGCCCCGCTGCCACCGCCGGCGCCGCCATCCACGCCGCCATTCCCACCACCACCGCCGCGGTGATGCGGGTGGTGATGTTGGCGGCGGCGCGCGCGCTGGCGGTACTGCGCCTGCAACAGCAGTATCTTCTCCCGACGGCGTTGCAATGCACCGTAATATATGAATTGCATCATCATGAACACGTCTGAAAGCACAAAATACCTGGAGTCATGAATTGGAAAGACGGTTGGCTTGGCTTGAGCCGGGCACATGGCAAAGCACGGCGAAAACCACTTGACGTGCGCAACAGTGCTATAAAAACCTTCTGAGCAACCGCTAGCCAGCGTTGACCAGAGTCTGTCTCACATGGCAGTGTAGGTGGTGGTGGGCAGCTGCTGCCCCTGCATCAGGGCGCCGGTCAGGTTGAACGTGTCCCCAAGCAGCCACTGCGCCAGGAACCAGGGGCTCAGTGCTTCCGCGCTCTTGTTGCGGAAGTTGGAGATGAACTGGGGCAGCTGCAAGGGTTCGAGGCCACGATAAAAATGTTAGGGGGAGCAGCAGGCACTTACAAGGCTGGCGGCTGGATGGGGGCGTTTTGCTGCGGCTACAGCTGCCGCCGCCGCTGAGGATGGAGCTCTAAAAGCATTGCCTCACCTGTGCAAATACCCAGAATACAATGGCCGCGAGGCCGAAAGCAAAGCCCACATAGTCCCTCCAGCTGCGATTGTGCGGCCAAAGGCGGCGAGGTGAGCAGGCGGCGTCGTACGCTGATGCAGACTGTGTGACGCATGGGCCCCCTCCGTCGCCACACGCTGGCCAAGCATCCAGGATGAATCCTGCAAAGAAGCTTCAATCAACTCACTTGTAAACGCAGTCGTGGAAGTGCTGTTCGATCCAAGGATCGGCCCCGGGGTCGCAGGACATGGCTGCGCCCCTGTGAAACTCTTCTACACCTGGAGGGCCTAGTTTTTGTGTCTCATTGTATCGGTGTCGGCCCTTTGCTGCCCACTGCACTTGGCTGCCTTGTGCTGCCCGCCCCGCGGGCCTGAGAGGCTGAGAGGCGGGCTTGGCAATACACAATGGGCGATTTTGACGGCAAAATTGGCGTTGTGCAATCAGGCGAAGGATCTGAGCTAGTACACTTGCTTTGTGAAATGAAGAGAGCGAATGTGCTGCGTGAGAGATAGCTCTGCAGGCTGTAGAAACCATGGGGCGAAGGCACGCCAGGACAGTACGGTGCTGGTAGCTGAAGTCACACATAAGTGCTGCGGACCGTGAGCGAGTGCTCTGGCGCTGTGGCGCCGCAGGTCAAAAGCGCTGTGTGCAACGTTGATCCATCACCCCAGTATGACAACCTGCTCTGGAGCATAACTGCGTGAATGCCGGCACCTCTGCCACAGCTGCCGTACCTCCGTCCGATAACCCGCAAACACCCAACAGGCCGCCACAACCCAGGCAAGCGCCCTGGAAACGGCTGATCAACACAGCGCACTGCATCGACATAACATGGAGTACACCTGCACAACTGCGCACTGAAAAAAGCGTAATGGAGCGAAACCTCTGACATCCGGAACATGTTTTTGGTACAGCACCATGCTGCGCTTGCCGGAGCACACTGGTGGTGAGGCGCATGCGAGATGCGACCTGCTCTTGGTACACAGGGATAACTGAGCCATCCGTGGGTAGCCTGCCTCCTCCATACCAAGAGGGCTGCAGCACAAGTCTCACAACGGCATGCCAGAGGAATGAAAGATGAGCAAGCAGTCCGGAGAAGAGAGCGACGGACGAAGCCAATTCACACACGAGCCGCCCCCCAAGCAAAACCTCTGCGAAATGTTCCAAGTGCGCAGCGCCCCTTCATCCTTGCGGCGAATGGAGGGGTGCCGCGCGGGCAATACCGATGGCATCCGCGCAGCAGCGCTGCTGGCTGCGTTCGCTCTCATTCACTCACGGCCTATCCCGGGCTCCTGTTGCGCCTCGCCTTGCCGCCTGCCCTCCACCATCCCAACCTCAATGCAGTGCTCAGGCCCGCCCTGCGCAGGCGTTGCCGCCATGCACACAGGGCTCACACCACCGCCGGGCCGACTGGAGACGCCTGGCGAGCTCGGAGCAGAGGCCGCCGAGACACCGCAGGCAGCGCCGCCGCTGAGGCGGCTGCTGCCGCTGCTGCCGCTGCCGCGGTACAAATGGTGCTCTGTGTGGGCTGGCTCGTGCGCGCCGTACCTAGAGGCCATGGCAAAGGGGCCATGAGGCAGAGGGGAAGGAAGTTTGGGCGGCCGCCAGCGCAGGTGGCAAATACGGGGCAGAATCAGCTCCTGAACATGTGCATGCAGGTCCCAAACGAGGTGAGCACAGCTGCGGGCTTGCCCATTGGCCACACAAGGTGCAAGGCACCAGGTGCGTCCAGCAGGCAGCTGGCACGGCTGATGTCTCGGTTGCCCAACGCGCCGCCCCACTCACTCCTTGGACATCAACCCGCCGCACATCTGGGCGGCCGCGTCGCGCGGCTCTGCGACAATGTGTCGCAGGTTGTCTGCGGCGATGCGTGGCAGGGTCCAAGACTGAGTATGTTCCTAGCAGCTGTACACTTGCACGCAGAAACACTTTCCGTATGCAGTTGCTAAGCTCGAGCTGCTGCAGCGGCGGAGCGCAGACCCAGCAGCAGCACCGTAAGCGGGTCGCACCGACAGCGGCGCGGGCGCTGGCTGCGACTTCTCTCAGGCGTTTGATGGGCGAGCTGGGTGAGGGCCCAGACAGGCCGTAGTCAGGGCCTCCAGATGCCTGGATTCGGATGACGTCCTCCAGCAGGTCGTGATCGGGCTGGTGTTCCGCCATGTCGGCCGATCTCGCACGTGTGGCGGTATGAATGTTCGTCGTCACATACGGGCACCCTTCCAGGGTGCGCTCCCTGCCGACGGATGTAGACAAGGGCCGCGACGCGGGACGCAGCATCTTTCGAGCTTGTTCGACAGGTGCAGAAAAGCAATGGTGAGAAAGATGATTTTGCATAATCGTCGGGAGCTCGCACGCCGTGCGCTGCTTACCCTGATGGTGACGTGAGCTGACTGTGCTGTATGGTATGTTGCGCCGGACGCAGCGTGGGGTGCAGCAGAGCAAGTTGGCAGAAGCAGAGGCATTCTGCACGAGCACAAAGCAAGCAGAGGGGCCAGGTCGTATGAGTGCTCTGCATCATGGGTTGTGCTGATCGCGAAAACCGATTGTCAACTGCTGCAATCTGCGTGTTTTTGGTGAGCGGCACTTAACAGCGTGATGTGGCACAGCAATCATGTATGAAATCTATGTATCCTGTGGCGCAATTTACACAAATTGTACTGGGGCTCCTTTTGTCTTGCACGTGTGGTGAGCGACAAAGCTCAAGGCATCACACCCGCCGCCCTCATTGGCCGCCACCAGGGCGCAGGACCGCCCCGACTTCCCGCCGCATGGCCGCCCGCCGCCGCCGCCACCGCTCGCTGCCGCGATACCGCCGCTCGCCCACAGCCTCTTCCTCTTCCAAAATGCCCTCTGCTCCGCCATCATCCTCCTCCTCTTCATCTTCAACATCATCCTCAAGAAACTGCCCGGCATCGATCCGTGATCTCCGTTGCTGCTCGCTAGCGCCGCGCTCGCCGGCTGCTTTTGCCGCACTCCCTCGCCCGCCGCCGCCGCCGCCGCCGCCGCTGTCCTGTGCCGCCCGCACCTCTCCCACACCATTTGAGCTGTTGTCATCGGCGGGCATGAGGTCCTGGCCCCCGAACACGAGCTCCAGGTCAGTGGGGGTGACGTGGCGCCACTCGCCCTCGGGCAGGCCTTCCAGGGTAAGCGCACCCACCGTGCGGCGGTGCAGCGACACCACCTTGCGCCCAAGCGCCGCAAACATGCGGCGCACCTGCCGGCGCGCGGGGGCGGGTGCGTGCGTGCCGTGGGCGCCAGAGGGCGTGCGAGTTTGGGAGGGTCTAGCTGCAGCGTGGTCTGGTGTTAACAGCAAATCGCGAAACAGCACAGCACAGCACAGCACAGCACAGCACAGCACAGCATAGCACAGCACAGCACAGCGCAACACATCACATCACAACTCAGCACAACACAGCACAACCCAGCACAGCACAGCGCGGCACGGCACAGCGCGGTACGGCACAGCGCGGCATAGCGTAGCACAGACCTCCATGGTGCAGCACCGATGCGGCGCGGTGCATGGAGCAAAGTCATCCCCCTAGATGTGCTGCCCAATGGAATGTGATTCATAAGCACCAGCCATGCTGTGCCTCCATCTGCCCCCAAAGACAAAGACACCGCTCCATGCCTGCACCTGATGGTATCGCCCCTCTGCCAGCGCCACCTCGGCGGTCGTGCCCCCCTCCAGGACGCTCAGCGCCGCCGGCAGCAGCGGTGACCGGTCACCTTCCAGCGTGAGCGTGCCGCTCGCAAAGCGGCGCGCAGCGGCGGCTGCCTCCTTGGCGGACAGCGGCGCGTCGAGCGTTGCAACGTACACCTTCCAGATGCCTGCGGCCCAATGACAAGAGGCAGGCGAGGCGCGAGAGGGCCGTGCATACCCATTGGCAATGAGAGTGGGTGCAAAGGAAGCACTTGTGTCTCGCCAAAGCAGCTGCGGAGCCCGGAATGTCGCAACGCCTGCTGCAGCGTGAGGACACCCGGCGCACCCATGATTCATCCGCTGCGGCCTGCAAGGCCAGGCGCGCCGCCCGCCCTGCTCGCGCACGCTCACGTTTTGAGGGCGACTTGATGCGGTGCAGCAGCTGGCCGTCGTCGGTGAGGAGCAGCAGGCCGCTGGTCTCCTTATCCAGGCGCCCGACCGCACTCAGGAAGGGGCGGCGGCGGCTGTACCTGAAGAGGCGTGGCGATGGGGGACCGGCAATGGCACTGCGCCGGCTGGGGGCACGGGGGCCAGGGAGAGCCCGCGACAGTTCTGCAATGAAGACACCACGACAAAGGGATTGCTACATCCCATGTCTTCAGCACCGCCTGCCCTTGCAGGCGCCACGCAGATGTGCTTGCAAGCACAATCCAACACACACTGACGCCCGCAAAGCCGCGCAGCCGCCGAGTCGCTACCTGTGGGGCAGCAGGTCGTACACGACGGGGTCCAGCACGCGCTCGTCATCAGGTGACGTCACCACGTAGCCGACCGGCTTGTGCAGCAGGACCGTCAGCGGGGAAGGCGGGTCGAGCGGCTCCCCGTCGAGCAGCACCTCGGAGGCGCGCACCTTCTCGCCAATCTGTGTTGTTGGAGGTGTGCGGTTTCAATACCGTAAGTTTCGGGCAAATTTTGAGGTTGCAGCGCGGGAAGACGCAGGCCAACAGGCGTCACGCTACGCGCGAATTGTTGATGAAGCGGAAGTCGGCCCCTCCATGCAGCAACACGTCGAAGAGCGCATGCACCTCGAGCATCCAGGAGCCCACGCACCCAGCGCCCAGGCACCATCAGGATGAACTCAGCAACAGCGCTGAGTACAGTCCAGTTAAGCACCATGTTTCTGCTGCATACACACGCCAGTGCCAACCCCGCCACTGGGGCGCCCCACCCGCAGGGCCTTGCCGCTCGCCGCCAGCGTCACACGGCCGCGTTTGACCAGTGTCGCGCACTCCTGGCGCTTGGCATACCCGAGGTTGGCCAGCAGGCGCTCCACACGCAGCGGCTTGCCGTCATCGACGGTCGACGCTGCCGTGTCTGGCTCCTCACTGTCATCCCCACCGCTGCCTTCACCGCCGCCGCCGCCACCGCTGGCGCTTGCCTGCGCAGCTCGGGGACTAGGGACTACGCCGCGACTGGAGGGAATCGCAGCCCAGGAGCTCCATGTGCTCCGTGCTGAGGTGCAGCAGCACGTGCGTGGCAGCGATGCTGACCGACCCAGCTCGAGCAGGTGGATGGGCGGCGAGTGGCGGTCGGGCGGCCGCCGCACCTGTCGGCCCCATGGCACCGTCGCCACCGGCAGGCGCCTCAGCAGGATAGAAGGAGCCCTCATTGCCTATCAAAGATATTCTCGGCAGTGAGTGCCAGAACGCTTTGTGCGTTGGTCGCTCTTTTTCTCGTGGGAGTCTCGCAGCAAATCAAAATCGATGTGATCTAGAGGTCGAGCAACATTCCGACGTCAACAATACGTGACAAGACACCGCACCAATTGAATCTATCGCGTATGATACAACAGCGTCTCATGAATGAAATTGCCTTGGAACGTGGCAATCATACGGTAGTCATAGCCCGCGGACACCATACTGACAGTGCAGAGGGCAAGGACAACTGAGTGATTGCATCAATTCTCCCATATTCATTGTATCAGGGCGACGTGACATTGCTTGTCTGGAGCTTCGGTGTGCCGCTGCGGCAACACCCTCCGCGGCACACACACCCTGCACAGCAGAGCCGGTGACAATTGATTGCATATCTTGTGCCGTGTTTGATTTTACCCCGCGGCACCGCCGAAGTCAGCGTACCTGCACGCCCTGCTTGTGGCGCTGCGCTGATTGTGTAGACTCGCAGGGCGCTGATCGCCTCTGGAGTGCGCCATGCAGCGCACCGCGGTGCCGCTCTAGCCTCGGTGCAGCATGATCAGCCGCTGAGGCGCAGCGCTCTTGGAATAGCGAGGCCGTACGGCAGGCGGTTGGGCGCAAGGCACTGGCCGGGCGCCCAGCGGCCATGATGGTCCCTTTCTCTCGTGGCCCCAGCTACCAGCGGATCCCCAGCTTCAGCCAGCTTCACGGCCACAGCGCGGCCCAGCAAAGCGGCACACCCCCAGGCTGCCGCACGCGCGCAGCACGCGCGGCAGCGGGCAGTGCGGCGCCGCTGATCCTCCTCTGCCTGCTGTCGTCGGCACTAACATACTTCGCGACCCACGGCATGCAGCGGCACGCGGTCTCGGCCAGCGCCGCACGGCTGGACGCCCTGGCCGCAGACACGTGGAACCTGCCGCCCGTCGCGCCGCCGGAGGCCACTGTGAGGCTGGAGGGGGCAGGCGGGGGCGGCGCCAGCACGCTGCGCGCGGCCGCGGCGGCGCGGCTGCTCAACCCCGCCAGCTCCGACGGGGCGGCAGCGCCAGCGGCGGTAGTAGCGGCGTCGCCACTGGGGGATGTGCCGGCAGCCGTCGCGCCTGTTGCGGTCGAGCAATTTGAGCGGGCGCACGAGGAGCCGCTTGCGCAGCTGGCGGCGCACCCACCCCCCAACGCGGCCATCCCTGAAGCCCAGTTAGCGGCCGCGGGCGAACGCCTCGTGCAGGAGCAGGAGCAGGTGGCACGGCAGCGGGATCCCAAGCAGCTGACCGGGTCAGGGGGCGCCGCGGCGCACGCTGCAGCGGCGGGCGCAGCCGCTGTGTCTGCGCATGCGCCTGGTGCAAACAGCCACAAGGAGGTACATGCCGCCGCCGCAGCCATGGCCCCGCATCAGCCTTCACAGCAGGAGCACCATGCGCAGGCGGCGACTCCGCAGCGGCAGCAGCAGCAGCACCCGCAGCAGCAGCACCCGCAGCAGCAGCACCCGCAGCAGCAGCACCCGCAGCGGCAGCACCCGCAGCAGCCGCAGCAGCAGCAGCAGCAGCAGCAGCAGCAGCAGCAGCATATCGCACCCCAGCCGCTGGCTGCCACACAGGCGCCGCAGCAGGCGGCGCCCATGGCGCAGCAGCAGCACCACCACCAGCCCGCCGCCGCGGCCCTGGCAACGCCGTCACTGGCTCACGTGCAGCCCTCCTCTGTCGCGCCCCACCTGGCACACCTCAAAGACCCCAGGCCCCGCCGCCCCCCGCGCCCGCGCCAGCAGCCGGCCGCCGGCGCGGCGGCGCCGGCCGGCCTGCGGCGTGCGCGGAGGGACGGGATCGAGCTGAAGCCCTACGGCGCCACCGGCCGCACGCGCGTGGCGCTGGTCAACCACGCCCCCTACCACCTGGAGATCGTGGCCGGCTGGCTGCACGTGCTGAGTCAGCTTCCGGTGGAGGTGATCTGGTACCAAGCGGGGCAGGCGACGCCGGGAGGCGTGGAGACCTTCACGGTGGACGAGCTGTTGGAAGCGCAGGTGTGTGTATGTGTGTATGTGTGTATGTGTGTATGTGTGTGGGGGTGGCAGGGTGAGTGTTTACATTTGAGTTGGGGAGGATGTTTGCGGATGTATGTTTGTGTGTGTGTATGTGTTTATCTGTGGATGTGCGTGTTCATGTGTGTTGGTGTCCTGTATGTGTGTGCTTGTACGTGTGTATGTGTGTATGTGTGTGTGTGTGTATGTGTGTGTGTGTGACAGAGAGAGTGTGTGTGTGTGTCGCACGGATGGTGTGTCGTTCATCCAAGGGGAAGGGTGGGCTGACCCAATCAACAATACGCAACAGGGTAGAGATGGATTCATTAACACATGATGTGGTCTTGCGCTATGGGCCTAGGGTGCCAGGCAGCTGCAAACAAGATTGCGCGCCGCTCCTTGAGCGCACACGCTGCCGGGCTCCAGCCCCCTTGCTTCCCGACCGCCGTTTGTAGCCCTTCTCTTGTCCTCCTTCGTGTCCTCGCGCCCCCCCACATACACACGTGCGCGCACGCGCGCGCACACACACACACACACACACACACACACACAGGGATTCTACGAACTGGTGGACCCCTCTGGGTTCCGCATGGTGCCCGTAACCTCGGAGCCCGTGCGCGTGGACTTTGCTGTCTTTGTTTCGCCCGAGTACTACGAGCACCAGACCAAGGTGTGGGCAGGGGGGGGGGGGTGGGGAGCGGACGTGGCCCTAGGGTTCTGGGGTTGCCCGGGGGGAGTACTGAGGGACTATCATGCCGCCAAGGTGGGACCTCTGGTTTCACGGGTGCGTTACGCCATGGCCGGCCGTGCCAAGCATCCCAAGGCCCGAACCAAGCCAACAGCGCGACCCATCCAACCGCCGCCGACGCCCGCAGCTCTTCCTGGAGCGCGCCCTCCCCATATCCTCGGTGATGGTCGTGCACAACGGCGGCAACCACGCGCTGCAGCGCCTCAAGGCGCTCGCGCCGCGCACCCACATCGTCGCCCTCGCGCCCCACGTGGCTGCGGCGGCGCGCGAGAGGCTGGGTCTGGACGTGGAGTGGGCGATGGCCGCGCACCCCTTCAAGCCCAAGGCGAGCGGGGTCCTGCAGGCGTGGGTGTTTTTGGTTGCTTGTGTGTATGTTCGTGCCCACGCGTGTGTGTTTGCGTGTGTGTGCGTGTGTGTGTGTGTGCGCGCGTGTGTGGACTGAGCGGCTGCTCGGCTGGCCTGGCGCCATGGCCGGCCGGAGGGCGGGTGGCAGCAATGGAGGGAGGGCAGAGCGACAGTGCCGCAGCGGCCCGCGCGCCTGTGTGCGCGGGCCCACGCCCTCCCAAGGGGACCGCCTGCGTTCTCGCCCCACTCGCGTGCCTCCGATGCAGCCTGTCCAGGCAAATCTGTTCAGGCAAATCTGTTCAGCTTATTCCCCTGCCCCTGCCCGCCGCCCCGCCCCTGCCGCCCCCGCAGGCGCCTTGTGAGCTGAGCGGCCCCAGCGCCGCGGCGCCGCTCTGCCTCCACGGCTTCGCCATCCAGGGCAACTTCGAGCCGCAGCGCCGCAACTACACGCGCGTCTGGTCGATGCTGCGCGCCCACGCGGCGGCCGGCCGCATACCCACGGCGCCGCCGCTGCCGCCGCTGCACCTGCATCTGGTGGGGCGCGGCAATGTAGAGCATCTGGCCCTCCCGCCAGAGGTGGAGGCGGTGACAACGGTCCACTTCAACCAGCCCTACCCAGATTACTACGAGCAGGTGGGCTTTCCCTTGTTCTCTCCCTCCCTCTCGCTATGTCTCGCGCAAATACCTCGTTGCATTGCACACGCGTGCGCGCGCCGCACCTCGCAAATGGAGGCATGATGGAGTGGGTTGCACATATCGAGCGGGCTCGCAGTCCCGTCCGCCCCGCACGCCAGCCTCCCCTCTGCTAACAACCGGATCCAACCCCTCAACCCCCCCCCCACATACGCCCCCATCTCCCTCCTGCACACACACATACACATAAACATGAACACACACACACACCCACACACACACACATATACACACAAACCTCACGCAGATCCACCACACGCATGCGCTACTGCTCGTCCTGGGCTCCCCCGCGTACCTGACCTCCAAGATGAGCTCCACAGTGGTGTCCTCCCTCACCACGGGCGTCCCCGTCGTCGCTGACGAGGCGGTGCTGGGCGCCTACACGTTCCTGCCGCGCGAGGCTGTGTTTGAGATGCGCAAGGGGGAGGACGAGGTGGACGCCATGATCAGGGTGGGTGTGAGGGAGGAGGGGGGGCGGAGGTGGGGCGGGGCAGTGGGGGCGAGCCACAGGCGGCCGGGAGGCGTGATGAGGCTGACTAGGACAGGGGGCCAAGGCATCGGCACGATAGACAGGAGGCAGAGGTGAGAGGCCGGCTATCATTTCGCCGCCACATCGGTTTCTTGCGCGTTGCGTGACCAAGCGCATGCACGCAAACGCACTCTCTCCCACGCGCATGACTCGTGCGCGTGCACGCATTCGCACAACACCGGCTTATCCTCAACTCGACACACACAACCCACGCTACACACACACACACACACACACACACACACACCAGGTTCTTGCGATGCCCCCAGACCAAATCCTGCGCGTCCACTACCGCGTTAAGGAACTGGCCACGTCCCTCAACGCACGCACCCTCGAGCTGCTGCGCACCCGCTGGATGCCATTGCCGCGGGAGGTGCGAGCGCGCCATGCGGCGCTGCACATCCCAACGGCGCTGACGTGACACCGGGCGACAGGGCTGCGCGGCAGGGAGGCTTCAGCGTGCGTCGCCGCCGCGGTGAGAGCGCCGTGACGGCGCCCATCGTGCAGGGAGCGGCGGCACGCGAGTGCAGGCGTCCGCACGGTCGGCGCTTCGCGGATGCTTTGGCCCCGCCCTCTCGGGTTGCAGGGCGCGCCACGCACGGCGCTGGGCCGCAATTGATGTTAAGGGACTGGGTCCTTGCCGGTTGTGGGTTCATGATTGCCTTTTTTGTTGTGCGTTGTGTACCCGCACCCCGTGAGTTTTGATTGATTGTTACAGTGTCAATTGTTTCGCTATTCTGCCATGCCGCGCCACCCCTGCGGCCCTCCTTTTGTAGCGCCTGCCTCTGTGGGCAGGCCCGCACTCCTCTCCCGGACAGCTGGCACTCAGCCTGGACGCCCCATCCCACCAGGCACCATACCCTTGCACCCCGCTGCCACGCGTGCGGTCCGACACTGCTGGCAATTGGGACTGCGATAGCACTTGTTAGGATGGTTGAGCGGCCGCAAGTCCACTCCACGCCCAGCGCGTCCGACCCCTGGTGTTTGTCTGCGTGCGGCCATCAGGCTTGCTGCGCCCCTTGTGAGCGCCGCGCCTGCGGTGGCACAGCTGCCTCTGCACTGCCCGCCAGAGCGGAGCAACCAACGAAGTTTCAGGCAGTGCCCAAGATTTTTGCATGGACCACATATTTGCATGTGCCCTCGACCAGGACGCAAAAGTAGGCGTGCTTTGCTTATGGCAACGCCCCTGGCCACGCGCCTGCTGCTACCGCACACTGCAACTTCGGCGCGCCCCGGCCGCCCATTTCGCACTTGAGCGCGCAACTGCGATGTGCTCATAGGTACCCTTAGCGGCACATACAGTGGCCGCCCAATCTTGTCGCGGATGTGGGGCGCCATGTAAGGGCCTGCTCGTGCCAGACCCCCCTCCTTTTGCTGCGCCTGGGGGCCGCAGCTGCTGCTGGAGCTGCCTTACCTACACTTGAATCGTGTTGACCAACGACATATGCAGTCTGTCTGCTTGTCTGCCTGGCGCAACTGAACGCCACGTGTTACATTCGTCGCGGCTGCAACTGCGCATCGTGCTGCGAGGGAGTTCATGCAGCCAGGTCACCAGCCAATCACCAACACGCCAAAGGCAGCCTGCGCGACGCGGCCCCCTCAAGAATTGCGGGGCTCTGCAGTACAGCATCCTGCGGCCCTGCGCCGCACATGCTGAGTCACCACATGCTGCCGTACGCTGAATGGGTCCCCCAACAATGTGAGAAGTGCTCGTCAATCCAAGCACCGTGTGTAGGAGGGATGCATGGGTTTGACGGCTCAATGCTGTCCTGCTTGTCGACGACTAATCTGCATAAACGGCAAGGGGCGCGCACCCACAAAGAGTGCAGTGCACAGTCATCCCCAGCCAACCCCTTCCCGTCGGCAATACGCACAGGGACACGTGCAATCACGCCCTGGGTGATTTCACCGAGCCGGCCACACCAGCCCAGGCTTTCAACCTACCAGCCAGGCTTCGCCCCTTGTACCCCACCCCAAACGAGCACCCAGCCCAATATGCAATGCAAACGACCGCTGGGCAGTGCGCAAGCAAGCCGCTGATCCATGCTGCTACCACCGCCACCACCATCGCCGCCCATCGCCGCCGCCCGCCTGTCGGCTTGGCCATGTTTGAGCCGTACAGAGGCGGCCGTTGCCGTCGGTCCCCTGCCCCCCCAAAGCTGTGAGTCAGCTCATCGTTCAGCCGAAGATGATCTGGGAGTTGCCGCCCGCGGTGCCGCCCGGCACCTTGGCGCCCGGCCTCACCTCCGTCAGGCCTGCGTTTATGGGGCGATGTCGGGGTGTTGGCTGCTGGCATTAAGACGATCGCCGCATCACGCCGTCAGTACAGACGCTTCACGCCACCCCTTTAGCGCTCCCCCCACCAATCCTAGCTCAGGAACAAGCGCCTGCATCCAGCTGCTGAGATTACTTTAGCGATTCCACAACCAGTCGTCCACACAGCACCCCTGGCCCACAAAACATGCTTGAAATCTCACCTTCGGGGCGTGGGCTGAGCGCGGCGCCATCAGTGGTCAGAGCGCCCGGCGGCGGCAGCCCCGCGGGCAGGCCCGCGCGCGCCGCCGGCGACAGCGGCATGTCACGGCGGTTCCGGGGCGAGGGTGCGCTCTCGGGCGCGTTGGCCGTGGAGGCGTCGCCAAAGCAGATGGTGGTGGCGCCGCCGGGGGGCGCAAGGACGCGGCTGGAGGCGCGGTCAGTGATGAAGTTGCCGACGTTTTGCTGCGTACAGGCAAGGGCGATGGGCGTGAGGGGGGTGGAGGTGTTGAGTCATAAATGCGGCTGACTGTGCAGGATGCATCTTGCCCTCCGTTGGCCCGATCACAGCTGTGCCTGCTAGTCTAAGTGTGCCTCTGCTGCATTGGCTTTCACCTTTGGTCCCACTCCTACCACCCTCCCGCTCTTATCGCCGGCCCACCTGGCCCGAGGGGCGCATGTAGTTGTTCTGGGCAAACCCCTTGGCCACGTCAGTTGAGGCCGTGCCAGCCACCGCGTTGATGACCAGGTCCTCCCCACTCTCGTTCTTGAGAGAGCTGTGCGGCCAGGCAGGGCAGCATGGTGCGTTAAGCGAGGGGTGGAGGCAAGGATTGGGGATTGGCAAACAAGGAAGAAGGTGGGGTTGCATGGGGCGGGCGATGTTGGACGAGGGCCTCCTAAGATCGAGGTTGCCAGCTCAAGGTCATGGCAGACCGCCACACACGTGTTGTGACCGAGCTCAGCTGGCGGTCAACTCTCCGCACATATGACACAGCAACACAGCTTCGGCACGTCACACCCATTGTGTTTTTGAAAACCCCCACCCCAACACCCACTTAATCCCACCCCAACACCTAGTTGTGCCACCTGGGCGTGATCTGCAGTGTCCAGAGGGCGTGTGCGGCCCCGAAGCAGCAACAGGGGTCAGCAGCAGCAGCAGCAGCCACTCACAAGTCCTTGGTGGCGAGCATGTTCTCCTTGAGGCGCTCCGCCAGCTGCTCCTTCCCACCAGCCGGGCTGATGCCGCGCAGGCGGCACTGGGTGCGCATGTCCTTGAGCAGGATCTGGCGGAACATGCAGTCAATGTCCTCAGGCGTCATGGCTGTTTCGAGGGTGGCGAATAGCAAGGGTGTAAGGATGTGGTATTGAGGGCGTGTGTGTGGGGGGCTGTGGGTTTGTTTATTACAACATGTTCACGATCGGGAGCGGTAGGGTGGACCATCCCTGATGACGCAGCCCGCAACATTTTGAGGTGACCGCTGCAGCAGTGGGCTCAGGCGGGCACACGCAGGTGTCACGCCAGCGCCATCTCCCCGATCGCTGATATGAGAATTTTCATCCCTTCGTGCATCAACAGGGCGCCCCTTTTCTCTGACAGAAGGAGCACCAAGGCAACCGAGGGGGTGGTTGAAGCTGCGGCCATGCAGGTGCGCCAGGGTCCTAGAGCATGGCCTCATGCTATTCAAAGATCATGAAAAACTCAATAGTGTGGCCGTAGGGCCTGTTTGCCACTCACCTGCACGATCTGGCGCTTGCCTGGAAGTACGCGGATGCTGCAGCTCTGTGCGCGCAAGTTATTGTTTACTGGCAAGATTTTCCGGACATATGGGGTGTATGGGCCTGGTCTGCACGTCGTGGCTGACAGCCTCGCAATTCAAGCTTGCGTTGGTCAGCGGGCACTCTAACGGGTGCAACGCGGAAACCGCAAGCCACAGTGTGCCGACGTGCCTCTCAAATAAATTGAATTATCCGTTGAGCTGTGCTGACGCCATCCGGGCACCCCTGGTGGTCATTGATCAGGTGCCGGTGGTGACCATCCACGACATGCTGCAGCACCAGGTGCCCCACCACCGTTGCAGCCTGACGGTGAGGGATATAATATCGCCCCGCTCAAACGCCCAGCTGTTGCGGTATGGTTACCCCTCGTCCTTGGTGGTGCCCTGCAGGAACAGCACACACGGACACATGGAAAATGATTCTGACATCCTAGTGACGCTGCAACATGCATGGCCAACGGGATGTATTCGAGGCATAGTTGGTGGTTGGCAAGGGTGATAGCAAGCCCGTTGCAATTACTGTGGCAATGGCAACGGCATTTGCCACAGCAACGGCAGCAGATACTGCAGGCGATGCAAGCCATGCAGGACGCAGCAGTTCAGGTGGGGCTAGACAGTTCATGCGAAGGAGTCGGTGAGTTGCAACCACACAAGAAGACGGCATAGCAGCCATGCAGCACATGCACATCTCAGTCCTGGCGCTCAAGTATGCAGCCAAGCTAGGGTGGAAAACTCGGGCCATGCAATTTTTGCACTCCAGAATGGTCAAAGCTAGGTGGTATGGCAAGGCCGCAGCCCAAGCAGGGTCGCTACGCGCAGCTATCCACATGGGCCCTGGGCTCACAAATTTGTTGCGGCATTGTTGTTTCTAAGTGCATCTACACACGCCATGATAGAAGTTACAAAAGGCAGCGACATATGAGGGCGCTGTGCAAGCTGGGGCTGCTGTGAGCACATGTGCCCGTGGGTTGCGCAGAGACAGGATGCATGTGCAGGGGTTCAACACATCTTGTATGCCTATCCCCACCTTTCAAACAAAGCGAGTTGCGACATCAAAAAGCGATGCGTGGTTGCCTGGTCATACTAAGCGATCGCCTGATTTCAGCGGCGCGTTATGCGAGACATGGACACATGTTGACCAGGCGTGCCACCACACCAGACATGATGGCTTCATGCAAAACATGGCCCAGAACACTCGCATGGTGAAACTCGTGCCCAACGAGGGATCATGTGTTCCATACGATGGTGCCACGTCGCGGCGCATGGCTCAAGGCGACTTCACCACTGCGCACATGGATACAAGCAACCCCCATTCCCCTGACTTACCCCAGTGGGATGTGATAGCTTGCAGTCCCTAATCTAACTCACTCGCATCTGTCTCAAGGAATATCCTGGCAGCAACCTCTGCTGGGGCAGCAACCTGGGGCCTGCGTACCATGAAGGGCAGCAGCATTTTCCCACCCGGAATTCGCCAAGGGTCCACGCGGCCAGACATGAAGGCAGAAGCAGGGCGCGAATCTCCACTGTAACGCTTTGTATGCAGTATATCAGTCGGACAGGCTTGGTCGCCGCCCGTTCGCCTTGCCCAGAAACGAACAGCTGGAAGCTCTCATTCACAAGCTTGTTTGCCCATCTGTACACGTTACAACTTTGTGCATCAGTGTTCTATTCCGGATAATATTTCAGGTTACCTCGCTGCGAGAGTCGAGATCTAGTGTCTCGCAGGCTTGCACCCCTGTCTCGTTGAACCTCCAGCAGGCCACCATGGTTCACGTCCTAGTCACTGGTGGTGTCGGTAAGCAGTCCAGCGCCGGGTACATCCTGCTTGTGCGAACGCCGCTGCGCCGCTCTGTGCGCACCGTGCGCATCCCTGTGCGGGGAGCAGCGGCCCCTCGCCTACCCCCAGCCCTCTCTTCTTCTACCCATAGGCTTCATCGGTAGCCACACCGTGCTTGCTCTGCTGGAGGAGGGCCATAGCGTGGTGATCGTGGACGACCTCTCCAACTCTTTTCCCCGTGTGTTTGAGCACATGAAGAAGCTGGCAGGCGACAAGAAGGACAAGATGAAGTTCGAGCAGGTGGGGCTGACAACTGGGCCTCTGAATATTTGTCTGGCATCCATAGGCCGATCCATGCAAGCCATCGCGCGATCGGGCGCTGCGTATGCGGAAACGGCAGCGGCACTTGCGACAACGCTGCCTCGGGCGCCTCGGGGCGCGCAAGAATTAAACCTTCCGAGGGCGGTGCCCCACATCGTGCTGCACGACCCATGAACACCTACTGCATTCGCCTCTGCAGGCGGATGTAGGGGACAAGGAGGCGCTGGACAGGATCTTTGCCGCTGAGAAGTGAGCGGGCATGCTGTTTGCGCGATTGAGCATAATTCTGATCGGCGTGCATCTGTTGTCTGCTGTTGCCGTTGGGGCAACTTGCAGCTATTGCAGCTGCCATGGATGCAGTGCTGCAGGCATGGGTGCTGCAGCTTGGCCATGCGTGCGCAGTTTCACCAGCAGATTACACATGGAAGCCCCTGCACAGCGAATCGGCAGCACCTGCTTGGACATTATCAGCTGGCTGCTATTGAAGTTGACCCATGACCATCCCTATCCTCGCCCTCCCTCTACCGCGATCCGCCCGCCGTAACCCCCACCCATCAGCCATTGCTCCCTGCAGCTTTCCACCTTGCCTCGCCCCACCCTCCAGAGCACTCACCCCACCCCACGCTTATCCACCCCATGGCGCACCCTCCAGGCCTGAGGCCGTGATCCACTTTGCCGGCTCCAAGGCCGTGGGGGAGAGCATTGAGCTGCCCCTCAAGTACTACAGGTACAGCTTGGGGCAGATGGTGGCGCGCAGGGCTTGAGGGCTGCCCTGGCAACCTGTTCACATGCTTGTACGTGATTCATGCAGGGACATGCGTGCATGCGGGCCCTGCGCACACACATGGGCGACTTCACACCTGCATGTTCTGCGTCGCGACACTGCATTTTACTTGCTTCACAACGTATGCGCCTTCATCTCATCCCTGCCTGGGCTCCAGGAACAACATGGTGGCCAGCATTGTGCTGCTGGAGGTGATGCAGAAGCACAACTGCAAGCTGGTGGGTGCGAGGGCATCAGCTTGTGTTGCCAGCATGGGGTGTGTTTGCTGCCCGGCACAGCGTTTGGCAGGGCCCACGGCGCATCAACCGGACAAAGTGCTTTGTTTATATTCCAGTTTCACTGGTTGCAATTCACCCTTGCGCGCGCACGTGCACACACACACACACACACACACACACACACACACACACACATGTCAACATGCATATGCGCACGCTCAGCCTGGCTTTTCTCGCGCTGTTTGCTGCTCCTCCCAACAGCTGGTTTTTAGCAGCAGCGCGACCGTGTACGGCATCCCCGAGCGCGTGCCCCTGACGGAGGACTGCCCCCTGTCAGCCATTAACCCCTACGGCCGCACCAAGCTCTTCCAGGAGGACATGTTCAGGTGGGGATGGTGGCTTGTGCAGGCCGACTGTGGGCGCGTAGCGACGAATGACGGCCGCTTGCGGCGCGTGCGTTGTGGCTGCTGCGTGCAGGCGCTCCCGAAGGCGCGCAAGCGGGCTGCTTGGACGGCGCTGCCGACCATCCGTGCATGATGCGACCCTGTTGGCCCGGTCACCTTTGTCTGTTGCCAGCCAAATTCTACCTAACCCCCCCCCCTCCCTGACAGGCACACACACACTCTCTCTTGGCTCCCTTGCTCACACTCACACAAGCACGTGCACATACACAATGCGCCTGCAACGACCCCAGGGACGTGGCCGTGGCGGACAAAGACGTGCGCATCCTGCTGCTGCGCTATTTCAACCCCGTCGGCGCGCACCCCAGCGGCGAAATCGGCGAGCACCCCGTCGGCATCCCCAACAACCTCATGCCCTACGTGATGCAGGCGCGCCACTCCCCCAGCGGCTGCAGCACCCGTGGGCGCAGCACTGGGGGGTTTGGTCTGCGCGCGAGTGCGGCCGCATCGTGGGCGGCAGTTCGCCGGGCAGCTGCACCACGCCGCAGCCGGCTGCAAAGGGCAGCCTCATGCAGCCGCGCTAGTCACAGCACGATTCTGGTGCTCCTTGTCTGCGAAACCAAGTTGGGCCGCATAACATGGCACGTCCGCCCGCCCGCAGGTGGCCCTGGGGCAGCGCGAGTTCCTGCGGGTGTTCGGCTCCGATTACGACACCCCTGGTGCGCAGAGCTGGTCACAGGGGCCACCATTGACTTTCAGGCCCCAGCAACCACGTTCCATGGGCTGGGCTGCGCTGCGTGCCACATGTTCGCATTAAGACGGCACAGGCACTGACAGCAAGGTGGAAATGGTGGCGGCCAAGCTTTGCCCACTCGTTGCCGCGCGTACCTCCCACATGCACCCCCACCCTCACGCGCACCCCACCAGATGGCACCGCCATCCGCGACTACATCTCGGTCATGGACCTGGCCGCCGGCCACGTGGCGGCGCTCAACAAGATCATCAACACCCCAGGCTTTGGCTGCCAGGCCGTCAACCTCGGTGCGTGTGCTTGGGGGCTCGCACCATTGCACCGTCGCCGCGGCCATCGTCAGCGCCGCCGATCGCCGGCGCCCGCCTGTCGCCTCAGAGGCCAGGCGGGCGTGATGGGTGCGATCGTGCGCGAACTCGTCGCCCTCCACGTTGCCTTTGTGGTCAATGTCCATCTTATCCATGAGCTGGCGCACCTTTGTTCGCCAGCACGCCTTCGCGAGCGTGGGTGCCTCGCTCCCGGCCCTCCCTGCGGGCCACCGTTAGCGCAGTCAGCTGCGGCGGCCGGTCGGCCTTTTCCTCCTGGGCCTTTGCTCCAGACGCGGCTGGCCCGACGTGCCTCCCTAAATACATTTCCCTGCACTAACACCAACCGAATTTAACAGGCACCGGCAAGGGCACCACCGTCCTGGAGATGGTGGCGTCGTTCGAGAAGGCCTCTGGCGCCAAGGTGCCCTACAAGGTACAGGGCTGCCTGGTTCAGCCGACACCTGGGGGCGGCTGGAAGGGAGGGATGCTGCACGCAACATTTTTCACCGCCTGTACAGGAGCGGCGTTTCGCACAGCGTTCACGCGATGCATGCGTGTCGCAGCATTCCTCGCCTTACCACAACCCCTTACACCCCCGACCCAGCGCCAGCAACCCGCCGAGGCAACCGCCCACCCACCCAACTGCCCTGCCCCGGCCGCAGCTGGTGGACCGCCGCCCCGGCGACGCGGGCGCTGTGTGGGCCGGCACCGACCTGGCAGAGGAGATGCTGGGCTGGAAGGCCACGCGCAACCTGGATGACATGTGCGCGTCCCTCTGGAAGTGGGCCACGCAGTACCCCCAGGGCTACGAGACCCCAGAGCCGGCGGCCGCCAAGTGATGGCGCGGCGGCTGTGGAGGCCGGCGCGTGGCTGCAGGCGGGGTTGGCGGGATGGCCTGGCTCGCTGCAGCTGGCGCTGGAGGGTGGTCGGACGGAAAGAAGGGGTCATGCTTCGCTTTTGCACCACTGCCGCAGGGGTCAACGCGGTGACAGCCGCTGCATGAATGCACCGCACTTGTTTAGCCTGCTGGGCCGATCCGACAGCATCCCTGCGGCACCTCACCAGCTGGTTATTCAGCAGATAATAAGCTGGCCCCGGCAGAGGGGCATCATTCCTGATCATCATGTCATACTTCAAAGCAGGGCCCGCAGGGCCACTGCTTTGAAGTATGCGGGCCCTGCTCTCGCGATGTTCCTTCGGCATTCCACTGACGGCTGCTTTGCGGCGTGACCCATGGGGCGTCGAGGGGAATCTCTTTGAACGCGGCAGGTGCCGCTGCTGTTAGCCGGCTGGATGCCTGTGGTGTCGATGTCTCTGCTGCAGCGTGCCTTTTCAATCATGGAGATGGGCAAAGACTAGGTCCTTGCGACTGACTCGACGCACCATCCCTCACCCTGCCTTCCCAACTTTTCTCTTCTGCATTCTGATGGCCACATCACATCTGGTCTGCATTTGAATCAATCATGTAAAACAGTGGCCGTATCCCTGAGTCAAAGCCTGCAGAAATGTACACTGCTTGAAACAACAAACGGCCAGCGCCTCTCATCCCACCATGCCGGGCCGCGCATGTAACACAGCGAATGCATGGCACATATCAGAAGTCACAACGCGCAAGGACTTGATGCGCCTGCCTTCGCCATCCTGCACCAGCAGCCCTATGAGCCTGCCCTGCCTGTTCACCACGGGCCCGCCCGACCAGCCCGCGTCTGCGTCAGCTGTCACATACCACGCGCCTACGTTCTCTGCAGACACAATGCCGCGATCCATGCTGACTTGCGCGGACCCAGCCCTGCAGCCAAGCGCGTAGACTGCGTCGCCCCGCGCCGCGTTCCCAGCCTCCAGTGGCTTGACGCTGGCCTTGGACCCCTTCAGCAGCATCAGGTCTATGCCTGGCACGGGCTGCACATCGACGCTGACGCGCTCCTCTGCTCCGTCATTGTACCGAGCGACAAACGATGTGGCGCCGCTGCTGTTGGCATCCTTCCCGAAGTGCAGCGCGTGGCCCGCTGTCCAAATCAGCGGCTGCGTTGCATGCATGGTCCCAGTGAACTCGCCCGCGGGCTGATTCGCATCATCTCTGCCATACAGCTTCACAACGTATTGCTCAGTGCGGGCGAGGTTGTCCTTGTCCACGTCGTCCTGCCGGCTGCCAAGCTTATGAGGATCGACGCTATGACAATCTCCGACATGCAACATTCTTGAGCTTCAATACGTAGCCATGAGGCAGCGTGATCAACGAAGCAAGACAAGCCTGCGAAGGACAAGCAACGGCATCACCCGTCCAGACCAGCCTGGTTCAGACAAGGAATCGGTCTGTGCAACGAACCCAACCAACTGCGATGAAATGCGCATCTTCATCGCGGACCCCTCGCAGCCGTACCGCGCGCTGCAGCTGCCCCCTACCCGTCCGTGCCCCCGCCCGCCGAGCCACAACGTGAGCTGCAGCACACGTTTTTCGCCAGAAACGGCTCCGACCGCGACCGGGGGAGGAATTTACCCGTAAGCAATGTGTCATGCATAAAACAAAGCCCGTGCCGTGTGCAGTGCTGGCCATGCCTGGTGAAGCTCTACTGGCCAGCAGTCCAGCATCCACGCTGTGTTAGGCTGCAGCATGCACAGCCAGTCCGCAACCAGCAGGCATGAATGATGCCGTCACGCGTGGGGGTGGAACACCAACTGCTGCTCCCCGACCCTGCCCGTAACTGAGCACTCCATCCCTGCCGGCAGCCCGCTGGGCTCGACGGCCGGTGCCTCCGCAGCAGTGCGCTCTTGGGCAGCCCCGCCGGCCCCCAAAACAGCACCCGCGAGCCCCGCCTCGCGCTGCTGCTGGCGCTGCTGCAGCGCCACGGTCGCCTTGCCCGACAGTCCGCCGGTCGTCTGCAGCAGCGGGCCCTGGAATCCAGGCACTGTGGGGGCGGTGTGGCCCCCCTTCGCGCCGCCCCCGCCGCCGCCGGCTGCTGCGACCATCTTGTGGCTTGTGACGGCGATGGCGCTGCCGGGTCTGAAGACGCCCGGCGCCTGCGCGTGGTGCTGCTGCAGCTTGTTAGCCCTGGGGGGCGACAGCCGGCCGCCACCCTGGCTGCGCACCTCTGAGCCGAAATCGCCACCTGCTGCTGCTGTTGCTGCCGCGGCAGCACCCTGCGCTGCCGCTGCGCAGGGCGCCGCCTCAGCCACCCCTGCAGCAGGCGCTGCGAGCGTCCGCCCTGCGGATATTGCCAGCACGGCAATCGAGGCTGGCGGCGCTGGCGGGGGCAGGGCACCGCTGCAAGACCCTTTCGGGCTGGCCTGTGGGCTGGGTGACGCCGCGCCGCGCCGCACGCCCCCCAAGAAGCCGCCGCCCGCCCGCGGCCCCGACGCCGCATCGTCGCCGCCACCGCCCGCGAGCAGCGCCGCGACGGCGGCGGCGGCGGCAGACTTTGCGCGCGCGAGCCCCGGTTGCTTGTGCTCGCCGTGCTGCTGCATCAACCCAGCGCCCGGGAGTGTCCCCACCGCCGGCCCCGAGCCCGCCGTTGCGGCCGCTGCTGCCGCAGTGCGTGGGGTCTGGCGCCGCTGCTGCATCTCCCTCGCGACGCGGTTGAGGGTGCGAGCCAGCGGCTCCCCGCCCAGCGGGCCCCGCCTCTCGCTCGTGGCCGCCCCAGCGGCGCCCTCCCCCTCTTCCACACTAGCAGCCAAGGCGGCCTGCTCAGCCGCCGCCGCCGCTGCCGCTGCGGCCATTGCAAATGCGGCCGCGTCTGCGCCCCTGGGTGGGGCTGCCTCGGGCAGAGCCGCCGTTGGTGGCTTTGATTTGGGCGCTGCGCCGGCGCTGTCGCCCCTGGGGACCGGCAAGGGGAAGGCGCCCCAGTATCCCACGCTCCTGCGTGCATATCGGGGCCAGCGCAGGGTATGTCCAGCTGGGCGGGATGATCAACCGTGTGGCATGCACCGCGTGGGGCGCTGCACAACGCGGGCCATGCGGTTCCCAATGTAAAGTCTGCCCCTGCCCACACGCCCGACACCCAGTTAACAGCCAAAGTTTACGGCAGAGTCTCATGACGTGTCAATACACCTTGGCGGCGCCAAGGTGCCAAGCTTGGGTGTGCCAAAGTCCATGAACTGGGCCATGAATTCCTAGGGACGCAGCCAAAGGGCACATTGCAGCTTGGATCCGTGAGGCCACAAGAACAAGTTGTGAGAGTGCTGAGAGCTTCCTCAGACTGGGGTGAACAGGACAACTCAGAAAGCACCTGCGTGGCTCCTTCAAAAAGTTGTGCGGGTCGCATACGTAGGGGACAGCAACGCTCACCGCAGGCAGCGCAGAGCAGAAGCCGCTGCCGCCCAGCTGATGCAAGAATTCATGTGCCGAGGCGGCCTCTTTGGCCGGTGCGAGGCTGCCTTGCTGGGCTGACAGGGCCGCGCGCAGCACTGCAGGTTGCGTTGGGAACGTGGGGTTGCAGGTGTGACGCGAGCAGTCTAGGCGTGCGGCATGAGCCGCGTTCTCTGAAGGTACGCCTATCCTGCGTTCGTGGATATTGTATGCAAGCCGGCCCGTGCTTGCAGTCTCATGCACCATCGGAATGTGGGTGGGCCCTTGGGTGCTTACAAGCCCTGCTGGCCCTCTCATGAGCCCCACTTAAGCCCGCATTGCAGCCCTCCTCACCTTCCGCGGGTGCCTGCAGACCGCTGCGCGTGTCAGCCAAGGCGCGTAGCTGGCGGCCCTGCAGGACTGCCTCGGGGACGGGGCGCTCGCCCAGCACCACATAGCCGCCCTGCGCGGGCGTGACGTTTCAGGGTAGCCTGGCTTTATACCCGAAGGGCCTTGGAAAGCAACGGTATGCTTTGAGGCAGTCCAACCCGCCCGAAAGCACTGCACATGTCAACTGGCCAATGGTTACCACTTGTGTCTACAATCATGCATGCATGGGCTCGCCTTGTGCTGTGTGCCGCGGGCCTGACGCTTCTCTGCGTGCTGTTCGTTCATCGCCATCTTGGCGCTTGCGATGCGCCGCATGCTCTGGGGTTGGAGGGGTGGTTGGGTCGGGTGGAGTGGAGGCTGTGGGGTGGGGTCGATGATAGGGGTGCTGAGTGCGGTGGTGCGCAGGCACTCCTCGGCAGGCAAGTGTATACGTTGAAATGAAAAATTTCATGGCTATGACAGGCCCTTCGAGACAGGAAGGCAGTGGTGAGTCGGGAAAGCGAGTTGACGACGGGGATTATTCAGCCAAATCCGCAACTTTTCGCTCCCTACTCAATAACAACTCATCAACCATTCGCCATTATACTATTGTCCGGCTCCTCGAAGGCAGCAGACAGGTTGTGGAGTCGCAAGGGGCCTTGCCACGCCTGGCGTGCAGCACGCCCTGCGCGACGCTGGAAGACACTTTGTGCAAATGACAGCCCTAGTCATGTCTCCCCTGGCAACACTTGCCCACTCTCTGAAGCGGACTGCTTCAGAAAAGGACCATACGGCCCTGAGCACGCAGGTGCGTGCTGGATCAGGCTTTCTATCGCAATACTAGGGTACTATATGGTCTGCAAGGGCTGGCCTTGCTCTGCCGGCAGCAAAACATGCGCGCGCTGCGCCCTGCTGCGGCACTGCACGAGGCGCTGCAGGCAGCGGCCCAGCAAGGCGGCTCGCCGCCTCCCAAGGTCATGCAATGTGTGCCCATGCCGGCGCCGCGCACGGCGCCTTGTCGCTACATCGAGTGCGCTCGTCGTGAGAGCCAGCACTGAGCAGCAGCCCTGAAACCCCCGCAACCGCCCCGCCTCCCATCTGCTGCGCCAGGACTTTGTGGAATCTGCAGAGGCGATCCTCCCATTCTTCGACCACCTCGGCCCCGTGTTCACCGTCGCGCGCCACGAGTTCACATCAAAGCTGGCGACCCTTCGCGACGCGGCCGGCCGCCACCGCACGCTGAGCGACGTAGTGCGCGCCGACGCCGCGCGCGGCGCCGTCACGGTCAAGAACAGCTGCACGCGCAACCTGCACCGCCTCGTCGCGGCGATATCCTTCATAAAGATCCTGTTCGAGCGCCTCTCGCGGTCGCACGCGACGCACTTGCGGGAGGCGGCCAGCGACGCGTACGAGGCGGCGCTTGCACCCTTCCATACAATGCTCATCCGCGGCGCGGTGCGCGCGGGCATGCTGACGCTGCCGACGCGCGAGCACTTCCTGGCCTCGATCGGCGAGACCGAGGAGAGCGCGGCACCGCGGTGTGCGGAGGTGATCGCGTCGTGTGAGGCCGTCATCGTGGTCGTGGACAAGCTACTCGCGGGGATTGAATTTCCCGTGTCTGATGTGTGGTTCTGGCCCAGCAGATGATCTGTGAGGCGCGGCATTTGCGCCCACGCGCCACTGCTGCTGCTGCTGTTTTCAGCAGCAGCAGCAGCAGCAGCAGCAGCAGCAGCCGCCGCGTCAGTCGCCGTTGCACAAGGGCGGTGGCAGACGCACCCCCTCCATGGGTTTGTTTGCCGACGATCGCATGCCCCGCCGCCAGCCCCAAAGCTGCAACACGTTTTGGGGCTGGCCCCATAGCGACCTTCAGGGCGCACCTTGCTCGATGGCCTGTGACGGCCGCCTTGGTATGTGGCATCGTATGCTCGCCTGCAGCCAGCACGTTCAGGCGGCGACGACCTCATCGTGCGCGCCCCTGACCTCTTCGCTTACAGCTGCACGCGCCCCGCGCTGCGCCGCAGCGTATGGCCTGCTACCCCGAGCATATGCTGCGCGTGCACGGCCCGCGCCGCCTCGCGGCCAGAGCCCTTTTCCGGTGCCGGAGGACCCCGACTCGCTGCCCGTGCGCCCGCCCGTGGCGGAGCTGCCCTTCCTTTGACCTCTCAAGTTGTCAATGCCGCGCCAAACCCCACACGCCCGAGAGCTTGACCACAGACGGATCACCCTTTCCTCCTGGTGCCCGGGGCGCACTGCCGCACCCCGGGCCGCTTTCGACGCATTAGTTCTCTACACATAATGCCGGCCGCCCATGCTACAGTAGCCAAAATGCTGTGGCCCGCGCCTACAGCGTTACTGGTGGTCACCCTCCCCTTACAACTCAAACGTCGCTGTAGGCACGCGCACCCTCTCTTCTAGAGGAATGTGTTAGGGCAGCCATGACTGATTTGAGCGCCGCCTCAGGCGGCAGAGGTTTCGGCGCACGCAGGATATCCGCGCGCCTTTATATGTAATCCATACTCAGAAGAATGGCAAATGATCCCCCTTCGGCCCCCACCAGAGGCCCAATATGCAGCATTGAGCTCAGCCAAAGGGTCACACCAGCCCGCCTGCCGCATGGCCCCGCGCTTGCAAGAACACCCTCCACCTGCGTCAACCCTACCCACAGCTGCGGTGCAACCCCGAGCCACCCCTGCTCACCTCCAGGACCTCCTCGGGCATCCGCCGCCTCCACTCGATTAGCGGCACCTGTTGCGCATTGACCATGCGCAGGCGGGCGCAACGCACTCAGCCACACACCAACGTAGCTTTACACGCAGTAGGCTTCGTCAGGCCATCGTCCGCAATTCCTGCCGCGCTCTGCGCAACATGCTGGCCACGAACGCTGGACTGTGTGGTGCACGCAAGCGGCGTGCCCCTCGCGGTTTGCGCTAACCTTGTAGGTGACCAACTCTGTCAGGGCCACCACGGTGGCGCTGCGCTTGGCTCCCGTCTGCAGGCTCATGTCCCCGATGATGGAGCCTGGCCCCAGGATGACCACCTGTTGTGGATGTTGGCCAGCAGGCCAGCAGGGTTGAGAGGCGCAGGCCAGGTTTGGGGGTGCCAGGGCCAGCTCCATCCCACCCAAAAACCCCTGCTGTATGTACTGCCCTGCCGCCATCCACAGCCGCTGAGCTTCTGCGCCTGGCGTGTGACGGTGCGCGGCGCACATTTAAAATGGCTACGGTGGACAAGCAAGCCAGCATCTGTTTCAGTCCTTAGCCACGCCTCAAAAGGCATGACGATGCGATGCGGATCAGAAACGTTGTTGCGTTGCACCCGCCTGCACGAGGCGCCGCAGGTCCTGCTCTGGCAGGAGGCCCTCCAGCTCCTCGGGGGCCTCCGCGGCGGCTGCGGCTGTGGTGTAGTTGGGGTCAATCAGCACGCACACCTGAGGAAGGCGAGGCGGCAAGGGAGAAAAATGAAGCCTGCATCCAGCCGAAGTTGCGGGCAAGTCTGCTGCAGACTGGACTGCACTCTTCTTTTAGAATCGCTGCTGGCGAGTCGTGAGTCAATTGAACAACGAATGCATCGCGGGTGCGTACCTGGCCGCTTCGCAGCACGTACATGCTGTCTGCAGCGTCACCCTGGCGCACAACCACCTCCCGCGGCTCAAACTCCTGCGCGGATGCGTCAAAAAGCGCCGTGACAATGTTTACAGATCAGTCAGCGGTCATCCGAGCGATGTGGTGGCGCGCAGGTGCACACACACACACACACACACACACACACACACACACGCACACACGCACGCACGCACGCACGCACATGCACACTCACACACACGCTCCACACACACAGCGCGTGCACACACATACACACGCGCACGCACCGTCTGGTGGAAGCAGTGGGCGAGGCCCTGCAGGAACGCGCGGCTGAGGCCCTGCAGTGCAGGCAGGGACTCAAGAAAGTCCACCTGGCAGGAGGAAAAACAAAAATTTAAATGGGTTTGGGGGTTGTGAGCCAGGCCTGTCCCCAGTCAAGCACTGGGTTATGTCCACATGTCTGTGCACCAGCTCAAGCATGCAAAAACAGGGGGAGCGGCCCGCGATGGCCTTGACACGCGTCACAGCAGCGCGCTGCTGTGATCCGCAGTGCACAAGTACAGCTGTCTGTGCGGCACGCTGCTGATAGATAGATAAGTTACTCCTACCATAGCATCACTGCCATCGGCCCTGCGCTCATCAGAGCGGACCTCCTCATTCCTAACCTTCCAACGGCTGCTGGTGGAGGCTGCCAGCCAGCACAGCCCTGGTGGCTTGGCCGTTCTCACATGGATCAAGAGCTTGGGCCCACCTTGTCCTCCTGCATCTTGCTCATGCGCCCCTGAAGGATCCGCGAGTACTCCTCCTCCCCCAGCATAAGCACCACAGCACCCCCGGCCGGCCCCAGCCGCCCGGGCGCCGCCGCCGGCCGCAGGGCCGCTTTTGGCGGCCCCCTGCCACCCCCGGCGCCGCCGGTAGCGCGCGCGGTCTGCTGCCTGCTGGTGGCGGCTGCCAGGTCGTCCTCTCCAAAGGATTCCCTGGGACCCAGGCGCCTGACCTCAACCAGTGTTGGGGAACCGGACAACGAGGACGACGCAGATCCCGTGCGCCCGCCGTCCGTCGAGCCCCCGGCGCCGCTCACGCTCCTGCCAGCTGCAGCAGCGGAGGCGCCACCGCTGGCGCGGCTCGCGGCCCTGGCGGCGCCGCTGGTGCTGCTGCTGCTGCCAGCGGCGGCGGCGGCGGTGCCGCCGTCACTCCTGCCGCGCGCGTCGGGCGGGGACTTTGCGCCGCTCCTGCTGCCGGCGCCGCTGCGACTGCCTGCGCCGCTCCCAAACCTCGACGCGCCAGCTCTCGTAGGGGAGCCGGTAGGAGCCGCCGCCGCCGCCGCAGCCGCCGCCGGCTCCTCATCCGCCTGCACCGCCAGCTCCCACATGCGGACCTCCCCCGAAACGACGACGTAGAAGTGTGAGGGCGCGTCGCCGATGCTGTAGACCGCCTGGCCCGCCTCATAGGCACGGCCCTCCATCGCCTGCCGACGCCGGCGGCACAGGGGGCTGGTGGTCGCGCATCGCGCTTGACGTCCGCGACCCGCAGCTAGTGCGCCGACCAAACCTCAATGGGCGCCCCCGCAGCTGTCTTCGATTTGGAATACATACACGCGCTTGCCCCCCGAGCAGTCGCTTGAAATTGCGGGAGGCGCCAGCAAGGGCGGCAGGGCTGGCTTTCTGCGAGCGTGTGCTGCTGGAACAGTCAGCTGTAGGCCCCACCTGGCCCAAAGCTCTGAGGATGGTGGGCTGCAGGTGGCGCAGCATGTGTGTTGAGGAGAGGAACTCCACCACTCTGTCCAACTGTTGGCGTGCATTATAGGATGGGCGGTCCAGCACGCTCATGCATGCAATTAGTAGGACGCCGCGCGTATGCGTGGTCAACTTCCTGGTCAGCATGTGCATGGAGATGTATGCCGCCAGGCATGCAGCGTGTACAAGCTACCGCTGCCGCTTAAAACATCATGTTGGCCTTCATGCCCACCTGCTGCGCCGTGCGCTCCACGACGGGCGCGAGCGCGGCCGCCCGGAGCTCGTCGGCACGCTGCTGCCGCCGGCGCGCCTTCGCAGCCTCGACGCCAGCGTCTGCGGATTGCACAGAGCCCTGCATCACAGCTGCTGCCGCAGTCGAGCTGGTCGCCGCAACGCCGCCACCTGGCATGCTGGGCGGGCGCGATGTGAGGCCGCCGACGCTGTCGGCCTCGCTTGTGTGATTTGAAATGATACCCTGTGCATGCTGCGCGCCGACATTTGGGGCGGCCTCGCTGCCGCCAAACTGGGACGCCGCTGCGAGGGAGCCTGAAGATGAATCCATGATTATACACTGATAACTTAAGCTGTCCGCAAGCAGCCGCCTGATTGTGCCGTGTTCAACGCTGTGTGGCAAAGCACCATTGACCACGCCGGGACACCGGAGGTGCTATGTCACGTGAAAGCGCCTATTTCATCATCTTCAGCCACCATTTCAATGTACAGGTGCGGCTGGGGTGATCTGATGTCATGTCACCGCTTTACGGTAGATGAGGAGAACAGACACCTCAACAGTTCTTCGTCTTGTCTTGTGAGATAAGGAGAATGTTGACGTTTTGAATTACAGAGCTTAGACCACACGTGGTGATCGGCGAGTGACAAGTACAGAAGCCTGTGCAGGGAGCGCTCTGCGAGCTTACTCAGTTAAAGGGATTCGCGGCGATGCTGGAGGTGCACCTGCTGCTTCAGGCCTTGCAGCGTGCCTCCAGCGGTGTCCCAGTGGGTGTGGTGACAGCCGCCGCAGTCGCCGCTGCACGCGCTGCCGCCGTTGGGCGCCTTGGCCCCGCCGTTGCTGGCCAGCAGCTCCGCGCCCTCTCCTCCTCGGCGTGCGCGGCTTCTGCGTCGGAGGCATCAGCGGAGCAGCAGCACAGCCGCAGCGGGGGATCTCCAAGCAGCGGCGCGGATTCTTTGAAGGAGCGGAGACAAAGGGGGCAGCAGCACCCCGATGCGGGCGGTGGGAGGGGCCGGCGGCGGGGAGCTCGGCCGAGATCGGACAGCGCAGGCGCCGCAGCCCGCCATACCCAGGCAGCTGACGCATGGGATGCAGCAGCGTCGTGGCGCGCGCCGGCTCCCCGCGGCGGGCGGGGCAACAGCGGCAGCAGAGGGGCCGAGCGCGAGGGCCGAAGCGGTCGCGGCGCTGCAAACAGCGGCGACGGCGACTGGGGTGGCGCCGGCTCGGCTTGGGGCGCCGACACCGGTTGGGGCG